TAAAATAAAACGTTTCTTGATGATACACGAATACTTACTCGGTGTTGAACGGTCTGTAGAACAGAAAAAAAATTTCAATTTCGGGTCAAGGATGAAACGGTTATTTACGGTCCACGTACCATACGCATTATAAAATTAATGCATTTGTGCGAGTTTATCCGAATGAATTAAGATTGACAGGTTTCGGCAAGCAAATACAGTGTACACCTACATAATATTATGCACTGTTTTTTCGAGAGAATAATATTAATTAATAATAACCTTTCTGATTGTGAAATTGGTATGTGTGCATTTGCGTTCAACTGCAAGTACTTATATTATATTAGTTTCTAAACTAACCTCCGTTCGTCATCGTCGGACCGGATAATAGGTTCTAAAGGTCCATTTTTATTTTGTGACACAAGATGTAATTTAATTTTCAAAACTGTACTACCTGACAAAATATATTTTGTAATTTTAATTTTTCATTTAATAGTTTTGAGTTGAGATGAATTTGATTAGGTCAAAAGGTGTTTTTTTTATTTGAAATCATGTATAAAGCACAGTGCTTTCATTTGAAAAAAATTCTGTTTTATTCTGTTATGTTATTTACAATTAAAACGTTACACAAATTTTGCGTTTATCGTTATTACGTTTGATACATATTAAATTTAAAAATAATAACTATTGCGGGTAGGTAATGGCCCGGATAAGGAATATAATATAATACATTTTTAGATTGTTCGCATGAAATAAATGTTTCTACAAAACTAACAGACCTTTATTTAAATAAATAGATTTGAAAATATTTCGTTTTGCGTTATTTTTCATTCAGTTATATTCTATAAAAATTATGTTTTGTGTTATTTTTCGTTTTATAATATTCTATAAATTACGTTTTGCGTTATGTTTTGTTTAATGATATATAATATTATATTTTGTTAATCGTTATGTTTTGTTTTGTAGTATTTAATTATTTTTGATTATCACTTTCCGTTATAATTACTTCTACAAATTTTAATCGTTTTTTGTCAAATATAACGATATAATCATAATTCATAACTTTATTATAACGTTTGCGAGCCCTGAATTAAAGCATGTTATGTTAACCCTTTCGCGGAAAATACTGCAAAATATTTAGATGTGGGTTATAATCTTTGCTTTGGTTTTTGATTTCGGTAATTCAGTTATGACTTATTTAGTAAGAACTAATAATGTAGTAAGCACTGCAAATGATACATTCACGACTTTTCGAGACACTAATTTAGACCTTGGAAATATTTATACAGAAGTTAAGTGGCAAAAATGTAACGAAGGCTGGTATCCGTTTCCAGCAAAAGTGCTTACTTTTCCCCTTTCCAAAAGTAACTAATGAGTATATGTAGTTTATAGTTCATCTATTATAATATAGGTACCTCTTCTTTTACTGCCAATAACTGTTTTCGCAATTTCCCCCAGATGAGATATTGACCGATTCCACGTTTCCAACAAAATAATTTCTATACTGTTAAAAGCTGTTATATACAGTACCTCAGTTTATAATACTTATAAGTAACATTTATACAATATAAAATTATTCAAATACTGCAGTATAATATTAAGCAACTTAATAAATACAATATACCTACATTAAATAAACCTACCTATTAAATATAATTAAAAATAAACTTATATTGAATGAATAATTTATTAAGGAATAATAAGAATACTCAAGACCGGTATATACCGAAGACTGAAGTCGTAAGTCAGTCGGATATGTACGTTCGTACCTACCAGTTTGTTCAATGTATTATATAACCAAAAATAATTTTTAAATGATTTCAAGCTATTAACTATTTTCATCTTGGGTTTATAAAAACCGTTTTAACTTTATTAATTTTACTGTCTTTATTAAACTGTATTCGCCGTATTCACGATTTAGGTAGGTATCAGTAAAAAGCTGCTCAATTATTCCTACAATTAAAAATTATTTTATTAAAATGTATAAAATGCGGTTTTTTCGATATTTTATAGTATTTTAATTTTGAAATATACTTTCTATGTACTGAGATTATTTTGGTGAAACGCTGAATTAATCAATATATCTCTTTTGGTGGAAGAGGAAAGAGTACACTTTTGGCGAGTGTATGCCCAAACGTGTTATGCCCGGAACGACAGCAGATACCTACAAATATTAATGCTTAGGTAGGTATGGGCTTTATGACCTAAATCTCCATATAGGTTTTTATGTAGTATTAGCAGAGTAGCAGACTGCAGCAGTAGCTTAAGTACTGACGTTCGGTACACAAAAAAGATGTCTATCTCTAAGCACCAAATAAAACGAGTATCAAAAAGCAATACAAATCTAAACTGGATAATAATTGTTAAGATTACAAGGTTGTAACCGTGTTTGTACAGAGTTACTAAAATATATATCTTAATAAATCTCAGGTAATATACCTCTAAGCAGTCTAAGCCACTATTAACATTCAAAATGCATTTTTTCTCTAGCGTCTATTTTCGGATTCGATATTTATGAGTTATACTGAATTTATTCAAAATCAATAATATTATATACACACGATGATGGACTCGTGCAGTTCATTAATCTAATGAATCGTAAGTAATTGTTTCTAAAAAATAATATAATCGGACTATATTATATTCAAATTTAATTTGAAATTATTAAATTTCGATATACTATACATAACAATTTATTATATTATGCATGTTAGGCTACCTCTGCAACTAATACCGACTGACAACAAAGTAAAAACGAACAATTATTATAATAAAGTAGGTACTAATATTTACCACTTTACCACATTATTTTTGTTTGATATTTTATAAATATTTATTAACTGTGGTTCATGGGGTCACACTCTATACTCAGTACTCACTGTTCTATTATAATATTACTGAGGACACTATATACGATAGTGTATACACTATACACTATACACTATACACTATATACTATACAGTATACACTATCGTACGTACTATACGTACCGTACTTACGGACCTACGGAAATGAAAACCGACAAAAATAGTGTTTTCAGGGAACGCGTGTACCTATCATGCAGCAACGATTAACCAAAAAAAAAATTATTTTTTTCGGAGTACTCAGCGATATTATAGTAGCCCGTTCGGAATAGTAAATAGTCACTGCAGGTAACTGCGGTTTCGTGGAAGCTGTTGCAGTGGCGGTGATTGTTCCGAGTTACAATAAAATCGAGTAATTTGCGCTCAGCTTTGCGGTTATATTGCACGCCGCCGAATTAGGAATCCGGTCGGTGCGCGTAAAAGTCACAGTCCAGTCTTCGCACCGGACTGTTTTATTATTATTATGCCTCAGACACCATAATAATATTATCATATACCGTCAGCAGCACAACTGCAGCAGCTGTCAACGACCCGCAGTGTACGTCGTCGCAGTATACATATTATTATTATTATTATATATATGTGTGTAATGTATGACGGTTTTGCGGTGCTGCTGGTATTACGCCTCGCTGACGTGTTGGGCAAAAACGCACTCTATATAATATGATTAGAATTTATTTATGGGGATTATATATATATTGACTATAGGTAGTTTAAAATGCATGACTTTCGATTATTTTTTTAGACATTAATTGATAAGAATGTCGATTAGAAATGTATGTAACAATTTGAATTTTTATACATTTTATAAATTTAAAATATATATTCCTATGACAAATTAAAATTAAGTATACAATATTATACGGACGCAGTCAGGCTCTACTTGCAAAGCTATCAACAATAACACTGCGGGCGCACTTGGTCATAATTTGACGTATTAAATCAACATAATATATTGATGTAGTCATGTAAATGATCAACTACATAATACATTGAGGATATTATTATAACTAATCGAATGAGAATATGGTAATCTATTCATGACGTATCATATTATTATGTTTATTAAAGTTTTTAAATTTTAAATTATATATAGATGATTAAGATTAAAGTTTATAAGCTCGCAGGTCGTAAGTAAATCATAAAAAAGTGCTTTAATATTATTCTGATTCCCTTCCGGATTTATATGCAATATAAAAATCTATAAAAATATGCAAATTCATATCATAAATATGCAAAAAATATGCAAAATAATTTATTACAAATTAATAAACTATACAGTTTTGAGTTAAAATATTGCATAATCTAAATGTACGTAAAAAAAAAGTTTATTAAAAAAAAAATGTGAAATAACATTTTTCAATGACAAAGTATTATAAATTAATTAAAGTATTATAATATATAAAATTATTATTTTAAAATTCAGAATAACATTATTTTTATGAAATTGTGTTTAAAATGTATTATAGTATATTTTATATTAAATTATTATTATGGGACGAGTACTAGCATGAAGCAATACAAATCGATTCCAAGTTTTCAAATTGAAAACTTCTCCAAGTATCTCGAAGCATAAGTTTGTATTTGGAAAAACTTCTTTCCATCTCACAAGATACAATTGGTGCATATTTAAAAACTAGATAAATCTTCAACTGATAGTTCCTTGTTCTCGTCACACTCCGTTACCACACCATTGATTATACTATCGATTTTTTTCATTGTTGAATATTCACGATTTTTATAGACGGGTGTGGGTAATAATTATAAATTTACAACTAGAAAAACCGATATTTTTCGTAATTTGTCGATAACTTATCGATTTACAGTATAATGGGTTATATACGATCGACAGTATTCCTACAGACGTAATTACGTAAATATGACTATTTTAATGAATAAAGATAGAATTATAATGATTATTAATATTATAATAAATTTTAGAAAATGCAAAATTAATGCAACTATTAAGAAATATGCATTTTCATTAGAATATGCAAAACCATGCAAAAAAAAAATTAACCATATAATTTACACATTACGAAACTTCGACATATATTATAATCGAAATTATTCTAGTTGAATCGTATAGAAGAATATGCATTTGCATATAAATCCGGACCCTAAATGTATGATTATAATTTATAACATTCTCTTACCTGCTGACGTCATCGGTCACGTGTGGTGGAGGCGGCGGTGACGACGAAAATGACGGTTGGTGTTGCAGATCGTCGGTGCAGATCTCGGCCGCGGTCTTTGTGTACGTATCCTGTCTGGTCAACACTTTCCGGTTGAGTTCGGGAGTGACGGGCTTCAGACGAGGTATCTTGGACGTGACCGGCGACGTTGTCGTGTCCGCGGCACCACCCGCCGTGTAATGATGGAACGAATTGCTCCGTCGGCCGATAGTTGCGTAATTAGGCCGCGTGACCGCAGATTCCGTTGGATTAGCTCGGGTGGAAGCGACTTCCGCTGGATTAGCCCGGGTTGAAGCAACTTCCGTTGGATTTGCCCTGACGGCGGCGACTTCCGGAACAGCCACGGCTTCCGTTTGCGTGGTGCGATTATGGCCGCTTCGGTCGTCTCTGGCGTCCGTCTGGGTGGCGTCCGTCTGGGTGGCGCGCGTCACCGGTGCCGCGGCTGGTTTCGCGTCCGTCGAAACGTCAGCCGAACATCCGACGTGCTTGAGCGTCGGTTTCGCGGCCACGCTGGCGTCGTACGTCCGCGGCCTGGCTGTTACGCCGACCGTGGTTGTTCTGACGGCTGCCGGCCTGGAAGACTGTGTTCCGACGTTTGCCGTTGTTGTCGGCGTCACGGCAGCCACCTCAGCCACTATTACAGTGGCCGGCTGGACGTCAGTGACCGCCATAGTCTGAGTGTGTGCCACTGAAGTGGCCGGCTTTACAACGTCCTTGGTCTGGGTATGCGCCACCATTGTGGCGGTCTTGGTAGCGGCGTCCGTCTGGGTGTGCACGGCCGCCCCGGACGGAGGCCGTTCCGTCATTGTGGACGTGTTCACCGACGTGGCCGACGGTGTCGTCACTCCTACGTCCCGGCACATGGGTACGCAATTGACGCCCACCTCTTTGGTGGACACGGTTACGCGCCTGTTAGCTGGAGACGCCGACAGAGACCATCCACTACCGACTAAAAACGAATAAGAATATAAATTATCATTAAAGGAACGAGAAGAGTCTAGAATGGGCGGGTCATGTATGAGCGAGCTGAGGGAAGCATTTTTCGAAAGGTACTGATCAATAAGCCAACTTGGAAGAGCCGTGCTTGTGAGGTAGCCGCGGCCGCTTGGCCCCCCTTGGAGGGGCCTAGGACTATTTGCACATAATATATAGGTTATGATAATATGTGACTTTCTTCGAAATCGTTGGTAATCGTTATAGGTATACTAAGTTTATTTTACCCATAACTCTCCACATTTTCAAAGATAAGTGAAAATTTAGTCTAAACGTATAAAAAGAACAATTTTCCTAGAACTTGGTACATTATTTTATTTAATAATATTTCATGGCGAGATCATGATGAGTTATTGTCTCGTGTATATACGTCGAACTTTTTTTAATTGTTTTAAAACGCAATAACACACACACACACCACTGCGACCTAGGTACTCGTTTGTCCGCAAACGGCTAATGCGATTCTACGTGTTTACATGTGTACGGAAAAATCGGAAAAAAAAATATATACCATACTCGGAGCGTAGTCCCGAGACACGTTGTGCTTCGTCCCGTGTTAATTATTTATAGTCATCTTGCCCACCACCATTATATGTGCTGCGACGTTCGTGCTCTGAGGACGCGTGATCCGTATGCGTGCAGATCCCCCTCCCACACCTCTCTCATTCTACTATATACCCTGTTCAAAATAAGAAGCGACCTGATTTACGCTTGAAAACCGGTTTTACTAGTGGCCGCCGAATCGCTTCTTAAAATGAACAGACTATAGATATTGTGTACACTATATAGGTATACGACCGTTCCGTCCGCTCGTTTTCGAAAACCATCAACCCGACGACCATCGCGCCCGCATACATATCACAGTAATTATACTATTGTATTATATTATATAGGTACCCATAATCTATATAACATCTAGGTATACCTACCTACCATAACAAAATTTGGATACTAAACTTCATAACATATCGATATTATATTAGTGTATTTGGCCATTTATATTTTATTGGATTTTGTTTGCACATCTATATATTAGAGTTCAAATTGATAAATATAAGAATATTAAATCGTGAAGTTTAAAATTTTGCAAAATTTATCAAAATCGCGAAAATATCTGAATAATTTTGTAGTAAAAAATGAATACCATTTTACTTTTAATACCAAAAGGCTTGGCAATTAATTGATACATGTAATTCAAAATAAAAAAATACCTACCTAATAATATCTTGAAATGTTCACAAAATATTCATGTAAAATAGACATGATATAGTTTTCAAAATATTTTGTTTCTTTTTGTAATTTTGTAGATTTTTGAAGTTTTAATGGAGATTTTTTAATATATTTTTTTTTCTTAATACATTATATGAAAAAAATTTAATTTGAGTAAGAAGCTTGGAAAACTAGTACAACGTTTTTCATAAGTGGTTCATACGCAAATAAAAAAATGAAAATATTATTTTTTTTATAAACGAATTAAAAGCTACAAAAATGATCAATGAGTACTTAAAATTACAATGGCATTGCAGGAAATTCAATCATACTTATATAATTACCTACAATATTGTTATTATTCGAAAATACTAATATAATATATATAAAGATTACTAAATACTAATATAATTAAAATATAATATCCTTTACATAATGCAATTTTTTAATATAATATAGGTAAATACTAAATACCTACATTTGAATTTTTAATTTTTTTTTACTTTCCTTTTTTTTGTTAAATAAAAATGTGTATGCTTAGTAAAACCTTTGAAAATGTAATACAAGATTCCATATACATATTATTGTTCTAATAACAAATTAAACAATAAAAAAAAGGTGGGAAAGTAGATGTCCCTCTGCTGTACAGTAGGTTACAAGTGGGTCAATGTATAATGGATTGTATTAAACTTGAATTCAATAATATAATATCATTGTATAAGAAAAACGATTCCGAGTGGAGACGATTTGTCAGTGTGGATATATTTTATATTGTTATTATTTAATATATCCAGTAAGTTGAATTAATATTATAATATTATTATTTTTATTTGTTTCTATGGTAATAAACAAAGCATTAGAAATTAAAATCTCATCTTTAGCGGTTTTTTGTAATTTGACGGTGGTTTTTCTCGTGGCATTAAATAACTATTGAGAAAATCGAAAAATGACCTCTCTAAAGTACCACCTTAATCCAGTTTGCTTCAATATAATGTACTATAGTATGTTGAAATCGAAGCACTCCTATTCTGGTAGAAATGATGTAGGTATACAGGATATAAAAAAAAAATAAAAAATATACACCATTGTAAAACCACTAGCTTTCTCGCTCCACTCAGAATCTAATAATAATCAAGCATAATTTTTTTTATGAATGAAAAAATTGAGAAAGATTTGCATTAGTTTGTATTTAAAACTTTTATGGCGAAAGCTTGGAAATTGAATACTAGGTTTCTCATAAGTTATTCTTACGGATAGGTACCTAAAACTCTCAAAAACACAAATGTCCAATTTTTTTTATAGACTTTGAAGTTCTAATATCAACAAATTTTTGCTGATATTGTAATAAAAATACATAATAACTTTGTCTACAAAAACGGTAAAATGTTATAAAACGTATATGTTTTTATGCACGATAATATCGTCTCGATCGGCAAAGATATTGTATGTGAGTATTAAGTATAGGTATATTGGAATTTGTAATATTAATATATAATATACATATGATCGATGTAGGCACTTGTCCCTGCCTACGCCACTGTCTCGTACACGCCATTTCTGTTATTCGCACCCGGCTTACCAGTATGTAAATCAAGTAAATCAAAACAGGATCATTCGCAAAAAGTCTATAAAAAAAATGATCTATCGATTTTATAGTGGGCAAAATAACAGACGGGTGCGTGGTAGAAATTTAAACTATATCAATTTGTACTCCGGAATTAGGTACATGTCTATTTACAAAATAATATTATTATGTACCTACCTACTTATATTATACTGTTAAATGAGATAGTAATGATATTGGTTATAGCTTACAATAAAGTATACACCACGGTGTTAAAAACTGTTTTGTCGCTTTCAATTGTTTCCCGTTGAAACAGAAATCCGGCGCCCATCGTCCCCATATGTTATAATATTATAATTCATAGGCTATAAGTATGAATAACAAAAATATAATTACGATTATACGAGAAAATCGTCACGTCACACGTCAATGATTAAAAACCACTAAATGAGCATACATAAAACACATGTGCGTCTAATATTAATATAAAATATAATAAAATAAGCTGAAAAACAAAATTTCTATTAGCGCAATTTCCATATTTCCATACACCTATTAATTTTAAGATTAAAACAAGTCTTCTAAGTTATTAATAAAAATAAAAAATTGGTCTAATAGGTGATCTAAGGTTAATAATTTTTATATGTAGGTACATATATTTTTACAATATTGTCATAATGAAGTAGGTAATAAATAAGATTAATGGCTAGTGTGGGTTATATGATTTTGTCACTGATTTTGAATTATTTGAATATTTTTCGGTATTATAGTTACTTATCATTAAATGTAAAAAAAAATGTGATGTTTATGCCCCCCCCCCTCAGAAAAAAATAAATAAATATAACCCTAGAGCCGCCCCTGGTTCAAAATTGTACTTGAAAAATAATTTTTAACAAATTTGTATGAAATGAGTAAGTGATAAACATAATTATATTGAATAATTAATATTATATTTTATGTACCTATATACATATAGGTATTTGGACATGGGTGATGGGCATATTTATAAATTTAGGAAATTGGAAATTATTTCATGTTTAAATGCCCTCACTGGGATTTTCTTCACTCTGTTTTCCATGTCATTATTATTATTTTATTTTATTTACTATCACAAAATAAGCTTATTGTTCAAACTTGTAACAGATAGCCTAATATAAAATTTTGAAAAACAAAAAATAAGACAATTGTAAATAATAGTTGTGATAAATGATAATGGTATAAGTACATGTCCAAGCAACATAATAAAAAAGTACCTACATTATATATTATGTTATTTCATATTTGTACAGTTTTGTTTCGTATTATACTTATTTCTAAGCATATTTACCTAACCTTGGAAATATGAACGTCTGCACGTTTAGATATTATATACATCGTGATAAAATTTAAAATCTGATTTATCTCTATTTATTCTAAATGAACATGTAAAATGATCAGCGTACACTCAATAATAATTGGAAGATATATGGGAACAATATAGAAGTGAAAATAATTGCACAAAAAAAATTTCAGAATTGACTATAATAGGTGAGGAATATTAATTTAAGACACCGGAAATAGAAAACCAAATAACATATTATAATTAATGTAACGAATGTCGAATAGGTATATAAAATGTTCGCTATTATGGAAAAGGTTGTGTTCTGTATTATAACAATAACAATTTTTAAGTATTATTATAATTTCATTCAATACCTAGGTAATTTAATATTTTATATCGACAAAAGAACTGTTTTACACAAACTAGGTAATTAAGGGATTTTTACAATCGAATTTTCGCACAATGCCTACTTGATATTATACTGTCACACATTGTCGGCTATCCGACATAGTCAGATTGCCTACTGGGGTGACTAAGTTGCACTTACTGCAGCGAGTTATACTCGAAATGAGTTGTGACAATCACACATTTTTTTAAGATTGACATTTTTTACGGCAAGTGGGCAACTAAGTGTGCGGGATCAGCTATATTATAATAAATTAGAAGAAATATGGCATATACATTTTGTACAAATATATTTATTAAAAATACAAATCTTTAGCCTGGATAACGTCGGACAGGACAGCTACTTTTTATATATAATTTTGTATGTTGTACATTTAACTATAGAAATTAAATAAACAAAAAACTTTTGAAAACAGTCGATTTATTGAAAATATATATAATTAATAGTGACTATCATCTTGGAAACTGAATGAGCGTGGAAATGTTGTATGAAGATATAATAAACTATTACTATTATTATATTAGGTTTGAACATTTGAATATAAACTATTTTTTAACCAAAACCATAATATTAAAATAATATGAATGTATACTAATACTTAGTAAAACGAGAGGAAATTCGTGGACTTAAAGTTACACCTAAAGTGATTATTAAAACCAAATAGATTTGTTCGGATGAAGTCACAAAACGATTTTTTTTTTATATTCTTATTTAAATTTCAAGCAGTTGGTAAATTATGTTGGGTTATTGTCACTTTAATAATCATTGCCTATAAAAAAAACATAATCTATATTTTACTATCAACCATAAAGTAGGTATGTTAATTTAGTTATATGTCCCCGTACACATACATGACACTTTTAAATCATTAATAATTATTACCTATAATAAATTATGATCATTATTTATTAATTATATTTTAAAATTCTTTTATTACATTATCAAATACTTGTTTGTGCGTTTATTGATGATCATTTTCTTCGTTATGCTCTGTAATGTTAAATATTTATTTTATTTTTTCAATAAGAAGACCATAACAATAATATCATCAATAACATGTGTCAGGTATTAATAATAAATGTCCATCAGCTATTAAGCCTTAATTATTAATATATATCTATTATCTATACACTAGTAAATATCGTGTACCTATAGACATAGAGTATAGTAACTCAGCATGAGTTATCAAATATCTCATTTTCAATTCTTAAAATCAAATTGTTAAGATACATTTCAACCTATCAAACAAATAACTAAAATAAGTATACCTACATATAGTTATAATTTTTTTTTTGTACCAAATATTTTAACAGATATTCGAAACTAATTTCAGAAAACAAAGTACGACTGGTTTTAGAAAAATGAATATATAACTCCCGGAATATATGTAAATGTGTATGAAAAGATTTATAACTTATAAATGAATAATAATAGACATAAAATATTATATTTTTTTATTGGAAACGAATTTATTAATATATATTGTTAGCATTAGTCTTGTGTGGGGAGCGTAATTACATCCGGTGATATTATACTATTATATTAGGACGACCTTCGAGATCTAAAATGCTATTCAAATTGCGTAGGTATAGTAATTTCGGCAAGTGCGTACAACTTCGCCATGCAAATCCAAACCTAGCCCATCTAGTTACTTAAAAAGGTATATTTGTGCAAAAAACACTTACCTGTTGCATATTTATTTGTATTCTCAAATGTTTTGTGTTTTTCTAATTCAGAGGATAGGCGCTGCTTCTCCAAATTCAATGAGGATACCTGCGCCTGTTTTACACACACAAAACCAACCATAATGTTCAATATTTCATTTTATTTACTGTATCTATTTCTTTAAGGCATCGCCTACACAGAAATATAAAATATACGCACCTCTTAGAATCCCAAATAAAATTACTTATAATAATATGCGCGTGAAATTAATAAGCTATTATAACTGTGAATGTATCTCACCAGAATTTATATTTTGGTTTTATTAAATTTCATATTATTATTACTATACTGTACACTCGACACGTCAGAAATATAATATTTAAAGTTGTCTACGTATGAAATTTACTGAAATTACGTCGCAGCACGAAATATCCAATTACTTTGATCAATGGTCGCGTACAGATTGGAGTATTTTTTATTTAACAAATGTGTCAATTAAAAATAATTTTGTTTGACAGCGTGGAATCGTTTTAAAATGTATTGCGCTCACGAAGTATATCACGCTAGAAATACGGTGGATTTGAAATTGTATCCCTATATATGCAATTGGAGACCTTTGTTTCCAACGACACGCAACAAAACTGTCATCGATTTGTTCAACTTGTTAACACGTTCACTGTGTTCACGGCGACTAATTTTAGTATTAACACGTAATAAAAGTGTATTTATGGTAATTATAGAGTTAATTATAGATGTTACCTTAAGCATAGGCACCAGTTTAACCTGTTCTTCTAAATCTTTGATAATCTCCAAGCTCTTCACCATTTGTTCCCTGATGAGCTGTGAACACCGCGGTTTTAAAGTCATTAATATTATTACGTACATATACGTAATTTGTCAACACAAATTTACTTGGAGCTCGTTATAAGTGTTTAGAGACCGATGCATGGATTGATCAGGCTTGGTGGAATAACCACTACTGCCAGTTGTAGTATTGCTCTCAAAGCTACTGTCAAGCTTATTGAAATTTGATTCATCACCTTCAACTGAAATTCAAATTTCCAATAACAAATTGCTTCACAGACATTTGATCCCGTGTTCCAACATACCCAAGTTTTGATTGGAAAATCCTCTAGGTGGCGGAACAATAGAGTTTGACTGAAACGCCAACTCAAGGGTCTCTTCGAAGTCCATTAAAGCCCTATCCAGAGAGTCCTGCACATCCGGGGATGCTCTCGTAACAGCCTCGGAATTCTTAGAAAAACAATTATATATAAATATTTATTTATAATGAAATGTGCGTCATATCAATTTTAAACAACATTTTAATGAAAACAAATTGTTTAAATCTATAAAAAAAAAATATAATGATAGCTTTAATAATTGCGATTGATTAACTATTAGCCAACTTCTGTATACAGCTTTAATAAATGCAATTTAAATTATTAAAAAATAATAACTTCAGTTTAAATGAAACAGATACAATTGTAAATCAATTTGTAATTCAATTATTTATTCAAATCTGTATTAAACGTTATTAAAAATAATTATTTCAGAATTAAATTTAAAAAAATATTAGATACTATTGTATTGTGAACATTAATTGTTAACGGAAAATTAGATAAGTAAATAAAAAGTCACACATTATTCAAATTTGTACTATATTGTTACTTACCTATGTATAAAACTTAATATCTTATTATGAGTCGTAATGTTATTCAGTATTCAGTATTCAACAGTTACTCGTAAAGACGTAGTATTTATGTGGAAGAGAAATTATTTTAAACATATACCTACAATTTTATAATTTACCGTTTTCTTTATATTGTGTTATTTATATTATACTAAGGACTAAGGATAATAGGTCCATGATTATGGGTTTATAAGATATGAGGCTATGGTTTTTTTGGAAATTTTAGTGATTAATATTAATATATTAACATTAATAATTTGTAAAAATATATTTTATAGCCCAAATATAATAAATACTATACCCAATTTAAATATATTTTACATTGTTATTAAAACCATGTTTAAGAAAATATCCTTATAAGGATACTATAGTAGTACAAACACTTTAATAGGTAACGAAGAAAATACTTGTTCGAATTTTGTATTAGGTAAACATCAAAATTAACAAAAATATTATCCAATAAATAATATTTACAGTAAAATGGGGGCTTCTCATTTGACATAAGTTTGTATCGCCGTGGGCACTCCTTAAATGTCAGTACAAAAAAAAATTTTTAATTTAAAAAAATGATCTTTGAGTATATATTATATAAAAATTCCAAAAATCAGAATTTGAATAAATTCATTATTAAAGGAGAATTTGAGAATGGCCATGCTTGGTGAATCACCTTATAGATAATACCTAAGCTATACTTAGTAGATTTAGGTACGATTTTAACACAATATTTGTGTTATCGTATTTATTTTCCTCTTTGAAATATTGTTACATAATGATACACTGTATCCGGTACTGTACTTATATGTCACGTACCAGATGTTTGCCGTTTAAGTTTTCATCGCTCAATCCCAACAGCGATTCCATTGACTTGAGCTGTCTCCGACGGTCCGGTACTCTCCCGTCGGTAATAGTGGAGATCCGGTGCCTCTTAACTGGTGAAAGAGGGCGGATCCTATGGTGGTAATCAAACTCCGGGTAGCCTCGGTCATGGTTGCCGTTTGACCGCAGCCAGTCCTGTATTTGAAAAGTATCGTCTGCGTGGGGGCAAAAACAATTAAAACCGGTTAAAAAAAAAATAAAGGAAAGAAAAGAGAACGAACGCCGAGATGACTCGACGGGAGAGAGAGAGTAACAATAATAATAATAATGGTCACGGATTGCTGGGCACTTCAACTTCAAAACGGATGGACGCTAAGACATACGGAATGCGTCTTATGTACTCGCGTAAAACTGGTCTTCACTCACAACGTCAAATTCCTTTACAATGTTACGTTATGCTCGTGTAAATGCTATTTCTAACTAGATCCAATGGTATTATATAAAAACCTAATAACCAAATTGCACCTAACTATACCTATAGTTTTTCCGAATATTAATTTGTGCAATAAATGTGTAACCTGCCTCATTCGTTTTTATATTAAACATTATAAATATCTTTAGCTCATTCATGCCATTTGTCATATTGACATTTGCATTATTCCGAAGTATATTATAGTTTTGATAATAATAATACAATCGATTTTGTATCAGCATACATAAAACAATAATTCGGGTTTTATAACAATCGGAATGAAAGAGTTGTATACATTGGAGATTAGTCTTTAAACTGAAAATGCTGTTTACAATTAATTTAATTTAAAACTACAATGTACTTGTTTATAGGAAGAAGAACAGCTGAATGTACCAGACCATAAGAAAACGAATCGTAGAGTAGTTGCCATATATTTTTATTATTGATCAATGAGTCCTTACAAATAGGTAATTTAAATCGTTCCATTGGTTGAATTTTTGTAAGTAGGTATATCAAAATACCTACACTTGCTTAACGGATCTAAATTAGGTAGGTACCTATTTACTACACATTCAGCCACATTGTAAATTATAATCAAGGGCATATAGACATATATAGTAGATTTATTATGGTTTATACGATAAACTTAGTCTCTAAGCCATAATACTCGTCGTCGGATGGTTGAGATGAGAAATGGCAATGAGGAGAGAGGACTTTCTTTCCCGGTCATAGAATCAAGGACAATTATTATTCGGACTAATTTGACAATGATTTCTCCCAAAGCAAAATTGGTGGTTAGGTGTGTATCTGCTTGGATATAGTGTATTGTGTGTAGCACTTGGCTTAACAATTTTCAATAACTCAATGACAATGGCAATTGTGATGCTTTATAGTTACGCGATGTGGTGTGTTATTAATTTTGTATTGTTAGGTAATCTTGGAAAATGTTTGAAAGTTCTAACAAAAAACCGGAGAAGTCACTCTGCTGAATGCTGTTGTAGCCTGTGCCCTGTGTAGTAGGTTTCTAGTGTAGGTACCTTGTTGGTTAGGTACCTAACCTAACCTTGTTGATCACTGTTATGTAACGATTATTGTGTTAAATTTGAACTCAATTATAAATCAATATAAACAAAAAATGATTATGAACAGTAACAAATATTTCTAAGATATTTTATAATTTTTTTTTTTTCATTGATCATTGAGCCCGGCAACTATGGCCATTAGCTGTTTTTTGTTTGTTTGTTTGTTTGTTTGTTTGTTTTAGTTTGTAGGGGAGGGAACTGTTGGTTTGTAAACACGTGTGTTTGTGGTGGCAGAATTTTTATTGGGGCACCCGTAGGTTTCTGCCATGCCCCGGAGTGGGGGGATGGCGGCACTTGTTTTCCGGACACCGTGACTTGCCCGGAAAAAAATGCCGCCCGGTGGTCGAGAATCGAACCCGCGACTGCCAGCGCCGCGGCCGACGCGTTAGACCGCTCGGCCACCTCGTCCCCCATTTTATAATTTATTTATATTACTATGAGTAATTTATTTTTCTATAAGTAATAATTTATACGGTATGTTGATCTTAACTTTGCCACACTAATAAAATGTTATATAATATTATATAATATTAAGGCAATACCGATTGTTCGTTCGCGAAATAACGGTGGTGAATAGTTTCGTAGTATAAACAGTTTAAAATTAGTCTAAATATGACAATAATAATAATGTGTATGGTGTAAAAAAGTTTCAAGTGTTTGTGTTTAAATGGCTAATTTCAAAACAATTTGAACTTGGATGTCTATAAAAAAAGCTATATTATAAATTTTAAACTACAAAATAGTTAATATATTTTCGACAAATTTAGTAAAACACATGAACATCGCCTTGTAAAAAATTGTGACTAAGTACTTTCAATATTCTTAAAATGCTGCCTCGACTTAAGAGGGATCTTTTATTAAGTTTTATTTACCTAGCATTCCTTTTTTTTTATAAGAACATATAGAAAATTATAATTTAAGTAATATACTTAGTGGAATATTTAAAGTTTTTTAATATTTTAAAATTAAAAATTAATATTTTTGAAATTTCCTATAGTAAAATGGCAAACACCGTTTAAAGGAGAAATCTTAATTTTACAGTTAAAATTTAAAATATATAATTTCGATCAAATTTGAATTTCAAACGTTAAGAATAATTGTTAATTACAAAAATCTAATACGTTATCGAGATTTTTTACAATTTTCATCCAAATTTTAATTTCAATAATTGTGATTCTAAGACTTATAGCTTATAAAGACAACTAAGTAATAAGTAACCTAGAAAATGTTCTTATCAACATAAATCGAAAAAAACAAAAAAGTGTAATATTTTTTTCCAACTTAGGTAAGTAAATTTTTATAGCTCAAAAACATAAAAAATATTTTAAAAATAATATCATGTTCACAAAATGTTAATATATTTAAATATTTGTTGAAAATGTCAAGTATTTACAGTTATTTATTAATGAATTAAGACCAAAACCAAAATTGTATAAATATACCGTTATCTGCAGCTGTTTTTGATTAATGGAAATGTTCTATTTTTGACTGAAAGTACTAGCTACATCCTATTTTTCATTGGAAAGTACCCTTAAAGTTGAATATTTTTTCTGCTTCATAGAGGTATGACAGGATCAAAAATATTAGAATTGAATAGCAAAAAAAAAGGACAGTAATGTAAACCAATAGATTCAATACACTCTGCGTTAATATTTTATAAAACGCAAGGATTTAAGGATAAAAAAAGTTAAGTTACATAGTTACCTATATATGAATAAGAATATATTTCTTAAAAATAAAAGTTAAATACTATCAATATTACGTGTTAATAAATATATTAAAATATAATATTTATATTGTTTTGAGTCACGTCATGTTAATTATTGACTTTGTGATTCTTTTAATACATATTATTACAAAACTCATTATCTCAATAAGTAGATAGCAATTAAAGTTTTTGAAATATAAATTTTTTTATAGATAGATATAGATAAGTACCTACACATTTTTAATTTCATATTTTGAAGCAGAATATTTTCCATACGATTTTTGTTATAAAAATCCACTCTTGTATAGTTGTATGAGTAGTAAATTTGTTTTAAAAATGTATATCAAAAGTTTAAGTGAGCTAAATATCTGTTTATTACTCCACACGTCTAAAATGTATAGCCTAAATTGAACAGCATAACAAATTTTCTACTCTAATTGAATTTTAAGTCATCGGAATTTTGATAAAAAAATATTCTGTTTTTGAATATAAATTTAAATATGTTGTCATATTAAAATGTATCAAACTTAAAAATTATACCAATGAAAAATAAAAATTGTTTTCAAACATTTTGTTTTGTGACGAATAGTGACAATAATTAATAAATATATTTACAAAACATCAATACTTTGTGATATTATAATGAGAATTAACTATTAAAAGAAGATTCCTAAAATTTCATGAGTTTTAGCTTTTAATATTTACAAACAATTAATTTGATAGTAAATAATAAAAAAAAAAAAAATTATAATCATAATTACATTACATTATTCATGCGGTCAAGCTCCTATTACCTTAAGTACTACACAATTATTACGTTGGAACGACATTGATCGATAACACACATTCAGTGTAATTTTATAGTAATTTTATAGTAAATCTATAGGTAACAAACGAATTAATCGTATAAAGTCAATTAAAGTTCATAAAAAAATAAAAATAAATATTATGTAATTCGTGTATATTTGTATTTAATATTATCATTATTATTACAGATCACGACAGTTATTATATTACGTATAGCTGAACATCTGTTTCGAGAGATATATATTACAACTATATCATATTTTATATAGGTAATTTAAGTAAGTATGCAGTCAATTTATTTTGTATTTTTTTATGAGTTGCATTTAATAGAATTTATAAATTAAAACGATTTTATACTTATGTCATTTTACTTGACGCTATACTTATTTATATATAACTAAATTTGTTACAAAAATATAACTTTTATAATATTCGATACTATACAAACTACAAAGTTATGCTGTTACTTAATATTAACTGCAGTTTATTTATAAGGGTGTCATTTATTAACGAGCAATATTGTCATTCTAGTAAAAATAATATCAATACACATAGATCTAAAACATTTCATTTTTTGATGGGTATAAATATCATTCATTATTTTTGTATACAGATGCATTTTTATGATTAAGATTTGGTTCTGAATTTTAAATATGTGTGTGTTACGAAATAATGAAAACAAAGTGACTAAATTATAGATTTAACTAAATAGTGAATAATAACATTATTTCAGACTTCAGTTCACAACTATCTACTTGAACCAGAGACTGGAACCTTTTGAATTTATCAGTATCGGTTCCGGTACTGGTTCTCCTAAAATAAAATAACTGTTCGGTTCCGTTTTTGTTTAAAAATAAAGGTTCCAAATAATTTTGGTATACTGAAAAGTATAATAAGTTTAAATACCTATCCGGAATAAGGGTTTAATCAATAGTACGAGAAATATTAAAAAACGTATAATATGATCATACATAGTATATACACTAAACAATAATACCATTAAATTATGATAAATAGAATTATTTTATTTTTGAACCCATAAATTCAATATTACTGGTATAATATTGTCAAATTTTAATTTATTTTTATATTATACTTCAAAGTGGACATATATTCTCTGATACTTAAGCAAAGGCTAAATAAATT